CTGAAAATTAATGAAAAAAAAAAAATAAATAATAAAATAAAAATTATTTATTTATTTTTTTATTTATAATGCAAAAATGAATATGCCAGCGATGATGCTCGCATTTAGATGAATATATATATATATATATATAAGCGGCACAAGAAATTTTAATTAAGGAATGACGGAGAGAGTCCAGTCTTGATTGAGATGCCCCAAATTATAAGTAACACTATTAACTATTAACTTCGTTGATATTGTTAAATGTGTGACGCAAAAGCTCGCTGTAGATTTTAATCAGAAAGTTTTCATGTCTTTCGACGTTCAACTTATGTGAGTGAGCGAGCGAGCGAGCTTGTCTCGCATGTGAAGATTCCACCTCTCCACCTCTCCATCACTCTCCCCAGCTGAATTAAAGGCAACATCAAAGTTTCCCCCTTCGGCGAGACGCAGGCACTTTATATGCCCCGTTGTCCCGTTGCTTTTTGCTGATGCTTGATTACTTAGTGCATAAATATATGGAGTGAAATAGTAATAAATTCAGCGAAAAAATGGATCAAAAAAAAAAAAAAATATATATATATATATATTATCGTAAATCTGATTGAAGTCGGGAAATTGAAACGTTAAAGTTCTTATTTCGCTCGAGCGATCGAGGTGACCATAGGATATGATAAATACATTTTTTTCAATGCCGACAATGACACTCACTTGCAATAATCCGATGATTATGTATAAAAGAGCAGTTATTATTATTAATATCTTAACGCCATCTCGTCGAAAGAATTATTTATACTATTTTCGTAAATAGAGGAGAAAAAAAGAAGAAATCGGAAAGCCCTTATTATATTACGCCGCCTTAGCGAAAATCGTATGAGTTTGCTTGAGTTTTGATAAAAAGAAGGTTCAATTTACTTTTCGACTGCTTCATTCACATTGTGTTATAATGTTATAGGCGAGAGTGTATCAAGAAACATATGACTGGCAAAATAAATAAAGTTTCTCATGTGATTTCTCAACCGTGTTAAAAATGCAAAAAAAAAAAAATAAAAAAATAAATAAATAAAAAATAAAAATAATATAAAAAATTGTTGCAACAACCGAACAAATAAAAACAACAGTAAGCAGAAGCAGAAAAGCAGCAGCAGCAGCAGTAGCAGCAGCAGCAGACACCGTTCATGTAATTCCAAGGCAAAATGATGAAAGCAAAGTAAAAAACAATGCGAGAAAAAGAGAGAAAATCCAATAAAACAAAAATTGTCTCCCAATGCCCCCAATACTGCTACAAAAAAACAATATTGATAAACGACAACACAACTAGACAACACCAACCAGGCAAACCGAATGAATATGCGTAACAATAACCATTTCTTTTTCCATTTTTTCCTTTGTTTTATTTCTCATTAAGTAAGTATTATTAAGTCAAAGGCTATGATGAAGAAGATATATATATATATACATATATATATATATGCGCAACGATCCAACCAATCAATTTATCAACAACTCTTTTTCTAGTACTTAAATGAATTCCATGGCAAGCCAGTTTAACGCGGCCAGCAATACAATCATCAAAACATACATATATACGTGTATATATATATAAAAGAAAACAAAAAAATAAAATACAAAAAAAAAATACAAAAAAAGACTCTCTAAAAAAAAAGAAGAGAAGGAAAAAAAATAAAAAAAAAAAAAAAAAAAAAAAAACAACCAATATATCCAAAAAAGCAGCAAAATTAAAAACAAAATTAAATTCAAAAGAAGAAAAAATTAAAAAAAAAAGTAAAAAAACAAACCAGAAAATAAAACAACCACCATATATATTTAATTATTACCTGTTGCATGGTAAACGAAACAAACGCTTGTGTTGTAGTGTGTTTCATTGTATATTTATTTATTTACGTCTGTCCATCCAACCATTCAACTCTCGATGCTGTAATGTATTATGCAACATACCTGATACCGATTATGTATAGAGCTCAAGTTCAAATCACTACTACCATCACAAATAACGCTACGCCACGACAAGACTATCAAACATACTGCTGCTGCTGTTGCTGCTGCTGCTGCTGCTGCTGCTGCTGCTGCTGCTGGAAAACCCGTCAGCCAGGTAAAAATGCAAAATTAACACGCAATTCATGATGACTGGCAGCACCATGATGACTTGAAGAGTGGTGCACAAGAGCAAAGGAGGAGAATGAGCGAAAGAAAGAAAGAAAAAAAGCACCCACGGGAGAGAGAGAGAGATAGAGAGAGAGAGAGATAGAGAGAGAGAGATAGAGAGAGAGAGAGAGAGAGACAGAGTGAAGGGGGGGACACACTGACAGACAGCAAAAAATGCATACTCTTCAATATACCATTTCTTTCTTTCTTTTTGTTTTTTTGTTTTTTTTCTGTGTTTTTCTGTTATATACGCATCAGCATTTTTAAAGGATCGATGAGCTTCTCATATAATAGCCGTACGGCACAGCACAGCACAGGGATGGCAAATTTTGCCTAATCGAGTGTTTCTATTCCTTTGCGATCACATCTATTGATATGGAATCGCTCCTTTAATTCTTGATCAACTAATGGGCGGGGAAGAGGTGGATTAAAATCCCCGAGATAGGGACTTCATTATCGGCACCACATCAAAAACACAACAAAAATTGGCTTGCATTATGTGCTCCTTGCGTGCTGCGTTGCGTGTAGGGACAACTTTTATTATTCATCCGCACAAAATTGCGGAGAATTACTCAGCACTCTTAACACGTAATCCTATATATATATATATATAATATGGGAGAAGGGAGGAATATTATTCTCCTTAAGTGTATTTTTATTTTTTTTATTTATTTTTTTTTTTTGTTAGGGAAGAACAATTTCCATCCTAACTATTTGCGTGTACTTGGAAAAAAAAAGAAAGAAAATTTCACCGATAGTTCTTCTAGAAGCCTTCGTAAATATAGCGTACACGTTGTCCAATTGAAAGCATCTCGATCGAAGAAAATTTCCTGGGAAAGTATTGTCGATAGAAAAGTGGTATGGCAACACTGCTTTATCAAAAAAATAATCATTTGTCGTTGGTTCATTGATCTTAAACATCTCGTTCCTAGCGCGACCACGTCATATATTCACACATTTTTTTTTGTGTGAAAATTTGGGCATAAGGCATTTTTATGAATATTATCCAAAGATTATTATCGCATTTTTACTCATATTACAAATTCAGATCGCTCTTTATTGAAGAAGAAGAAGAAGCTCGATTTGCTGCGTCAATCACCATATTTTCGAGATGATGCCAACAGCGGCCATTAACTGCTGGCAGCAAATCGCAAAAAGATGCACGAAAGAAAAAGTTTTCAATTTGACGGCACAGAGAGAGATCACTTTTTCTCTTTTTTATTGAATAGGTATCGAAAAATTTGGAGAAGCGTTAAAGCGTCTTGAACGAGGCTTATTTTCCGAGATTTATTTACCGATCGTCTATTATTATGGGGTAAAAAAACTTGCACCGCACGACAGTGAAGCATGAAAGTTTGGAAAGAAAAAAGTAAAAACCAACCAAGAAGCGATCAATTTCATGCGAAATGAAAGCGATCCCTCTTGTCGTTTCATCCCTTTTTATTTCGGTCCCATGAACCAAAAAAAAAAAAAAACAAGAAAATTACATTCGTTAACACATCCCCACATATATCTTGAAGATATGTTAAAAGAAAGAAGAAGAAGAAGAATATGTTGTTGTAATGCGCAAAAAATTAGATCTTTTTTTTTTTTACAAATTTATTTTCCATCCTTTTTCTTTGCATTTCTTCATTTAAGTAAAACCACCTTTCGGGTAATGAATTGAACATAAAAACAGTGCAGAGTTTACACATATGCAGCAGCGCATTGATGTTGTTAGTAAGCTGGTCTCGCCTTTTATTTGCCCTACACCGCTTATGGATTTAAGATGACTTAACATTTTATTGTATCGATCGCTTCAGAATCGATCTAAGCCTGTCTGCCCTGCCCGCCCGTCTGTTCAATTTTTACGATATTTCGATGACATTTAGTAGGTACGCCGACATTCTCGACACAATAGTTCCTAAGTCGTACTATTTCGACATTCCGTATGAAAATTGAATGTGATAAAAAAGTTCGACGAATATTTCAACATTTCAGGGTGAAAAAGGGTAAACAATTTGAATAACATCAGTTTTTTTCGTTTTAGTAGATCCTAACATATATAGGCGCTACCGTGAAATGCAAGCTCTTATTATGGAATGGAGAAAATCGAATCTTCCATTATGTGGTGGACTTTCCTGATAATTATGGCTTTTCATGAAACTAATGTGCACTTATGTGTGGTGTAGGGTATGCAATGGGGTCGACTATACTGCTCTTATTTGTTCCTTTTGCAAGACACCTCTATTAAGTCACCCTACACTTTCGGCTGTTTCAGAATTTTTCATACACGCTTCTACACTATTACTAGTGAGTGGGCGTTTTTTGTTATGCTCATCGCCGAAGTATGACGAGTATATTAGTTTTGTCACGCCCAGAAGGAAGCTTAAGAGACCCCACAAAGTAGATTCATCCTTGATCAGGATCCTATCATATTCTGTCCATCTGTCTTTCTGTTCGTCTGTGTAAGGTCCGTTGTAAACCAATTTTTATCGACATCAAATTTTAAAAAAAGCATTGGAAGTTCTTGCAGGGTAGGTTGATATTGCGAAAATAAGCAGAATCCGTCGATGGACACGCCTACAGCACACTACGTGAACTAAAACGGCCTCTGAAAAAAAAAAGGTTATCTTTTGCTTCTTACTTCAAAAAAAAACTGCAGCAATATTGTATGTAGTACCTAAAAAAATTGACCATGCCCATCAACGATTCTTAATCAGTTTAAAAATCGGAATGCGCGTAATTCTATCTATCTGCCGAAAAAGTCAAGCGACACGCCTATACAACAAAAACCAACGAACACGTTTGCTTTCCGTGTTGTTTGCTTGCTACCCATCAAACAGAATGCAAATAGTACCGTCGTATAAATTTCC